TCTCCGTTCGGCTGGCGTCGGGCTGAACGCAGGCGGCTCAGTCAATGCTCGGTCAGCGGCTCAGCGGCTCAGTTGCAATGGCTCGGTCAGCGGCTTATGACGTGGCTGGCGTGCACGCTGTGCGGCGCGTGCCTGCGCAGTGACCTCACGGCGGTCTTCTCTTCGTCCGCCTGCGCGTGGGGCGCGGTGGCGTGAGATTGGGACCACGCGCCGGGTGCCTGTTACGGCGCGTATTGGCGCGTGACGCGACTGGACTCACGCTCAACTTTCCAGAGGGACGTCGTGAGGGTGCGTCCGACCTCTGTTGGGGTGTCTGCTTTATATTTCTGGACTCCTCTCGTCGCATCCCTTGCTCCTAGGTATGCCTCAAAATCTGATTTCGAGCAATTACAATTCTGGGCAGTTTTCGCGAACAACACTCTGTTTTTTTTCGAAAAAATGTACAACATCGGCTCTGATACCACTTGTTAGGATCAAACACACCCAACAAATTATCTCACACACACAGAGAACACAATATTTACGTGGTTCGGCCCAATGCCTTTACATCCGGACGAGAAACCGAGAATTTTTCACTAAAATGGGCAACAATACAAATACAGAGGAGGAGATGAAAACTCACTTCAACTCACAGCTCTTCTGTAGAGACGGCCCGAGTGGCGCATCATGCTACAGTTCGGACTCGATTTGTGTTTCACGTTCTAAATCTGAACCAAAGAGTCCAAATCCGGCAAATCATTTTGGGAAAACAGATTTTTTGAAAGAAGTAGATGCCAAACATGGTACTGCTTTGCCAGAATCAGAGTCGCTACCTAAATATTTTTAAAATGGGAAATTTAGGAAACCCTGACTCGGTGCCGAAAGGCCACATTGTCCGTCAATCACCGGAGTTGTCTCGGCTCGGGGAGCTTGGGTACGATTGGAAGGTCAGCTATGAGCCACCCCCTTTCGCCCGGTCCGAAGCCGTGCCTCTACTAACCTTGAATATCCGTATTTTGAAAACGTTATGTGTTCTTATTCCATTTATTAAGCCTAGAGATTACTATGTTTATGCGCACAGCAAACCAAGTATTAAGCACCAAATCGCCCAAATTGGAACAAAACATTTCACGTTCGTTTTGAAAAATGGTTTGCTTACTCGCAAGTTAGGCTAAAATGCAAGATTTTGCCACCCTCAAGTGGGCTTTTGGAAAAAAAATGGTTTTGCCACAATCCAGGTGGCTAATTTCAACGTTTTAAACGCATCTATCCCAACTTAAGCAATTTGACCTCCACCCATAGCATTTCAAGCAGTTTATTCTCATGTAAGCACTTAGCCGCCATGGCCAAGCATGTTTATCGTATTGGCACAGTTCACACGCATGCGATTGCTAAAGATAAACACTAACATCGTACTCCCGTACCAAAACAATAAAACTAGTTAGCAAACATGCATGTCCTAGTTTCATGTTTAGATTGACTAATGCAAACACCGATACGGGATTGCAATTGAAGTAGGCTCGGCTAACCTAAGCATGGCATGTGAGTGCAATCAAATTAATGCCACGGATTCAATTTTGAAATTTAAAGTACAAATGCAGTTAGCCATGATGTGCCGAGCCTGATGCATGTCAACAAATGCACGAATGCACGCATGCATAGCATACAGGTATGCTAAAATAAATGTGCCCTAATCTACTATAAGCAGGTAAATAAAAAGGAAGGAAAGAAGTGGGGTTGGAAGACAACATTCACAGCAACCCACACTTATTACAAATATTGCCCTCGCTCGGAGGGACCAATAAATATTACAATTAATCTCTCTCTGGTGGCACCACCTTGGCCAATTATGGCTATCACTTCACCTACTCCTTCTCTCTTGGTTATAAATTGAGATGAGTGAGGAGGGGTTGTAAATTATCAGAAATTGGAGAGTGAGAGCTGTGAGTTGAGTGAGTTTTCATCTCCTCCTCTGTATTTGTATTTTGCTCCATTTTAGTGAAAATTCTCGTTTCTGTCTGTGGATGTAGGCATTGGGCCGAACCACGTAAATATTGTGTTCTCTGTGTGTGAGATAATTTGTCTGGGTGTGTTTGATCCTAACATCATACAAACCCAAAGAGGTTTCAAAGTTCTGAAAATTCTATAAAATATAAACTTTGTTAAAATATAAACATGACTTTATATAGAACTAGAAGTCTTCCTAAACCAACTAGAATAAAAAAAGGAAACTTAATTACTTTGACTTTCAAATCAATTTAAGATCAAATAAGAAACATAAATAAAAACCAATTAAATAGCTTGACCCATAAGACGATCCATGGGCAATCCTTACTGCCTGTCGGCAAATATGAAAATTACCAAAATACCACTGACCTGAAAATCCTAGAAAACATAAAAATAATTATAAAATAAGACTATAATAATACTAGAAATATAATTATATAAGATTCCTATTTGTTTTTCTTTGAAATCATATCAATGTTCAAATATCATCACAGCCACAAGCTAGTAAAAGTTATTTGCATGATAAAGAAGTTTTGGTGAGAGGAATTTTTGTTACTTGTGGAATCTCTTCTGCAAAAGTTGGTTGATTGAAGAACTTGAGAATTGTTGAGATGACAAATGAAGGCAGTTGAGGTGATTTAATCATATATAATAGTGTCAATATCACTGTCACTATGAGCTAGCATGTGGCATGTTTCCAATACTTCGCTTTGGAAAGATAAAGGATGAAAATTCCTGGGCTGATTCACCTTAATGAATTTGCTTAGAGTTATTGCCAATTAGATTAATTAGCTAAATACAATCTCAAGCAATAAAGTAAATCAATCTCTCTTTATGTCTCTGTCTCACACACACACAAAAAAAAAGGTTTGTGATTAACATGGAAAGCCCTACTGGGAAAAATCAGAGGACCTAATCCAACAAACCAACCAATTTAATATAAAGAATAAAATACAAGTTGCAACTTACAACCCAACCCAACCCAAACCAAACCAAACCAAACCAAACCAAATCCACAATGTCAAGTCCACGAAATTTTGGGTGTGCTCCCTGTAGCGATTGAATCCATGATCTTCGTCTTCAATTGATGGTTGAGTGTTGAATCTATGATACTTCTAGAATCCATCGTGAATTGAACACGATCCACCAAACCACCTTTGGAATTCACTAATGCTGTGTTTGGTTGGATGATTTGAGGAGAGATTTGGAAAGGGAAAGGGAAAGGGAAAAGATACGTGAAATTATGTGAAATTTAGGCATATTTTATTCTCATTTCACCTACCTTTTTCATTTTTCTTTCCAAATCCCTTCTTAAATCCCCCAACCAAACACAGCATAAGGCAACCACCACCGTCGGAATTCAATAAGGCAATCACCAATGTGTGAGCAATGATGTATAAAAGCTCAAATATCGAATATATTCGAAGCATGTTTTGGTCTTCACCCAAGGCCCCTATTTATAGTTGAGGTGTCCTAGAATGGCTTAAAGACTTCTTTAGCTCGTCCCCATGTGTTAAACTAACTTAAATCTTGTAAAATCGACACCTTGCGCTTGAGCCCGCACAACCCTCTCAAGCTCCCAAAAAAATTGTGCATTTTGGAGTAACCATGCCTAAGTTCACTTCTCAAATTCCAATATGTTCGATTCTTTTTACGGTGAAAGATATATGTTAATTCTTCCTCACTTTGTTTTACACGTGACCCCATGCCAAGCTAGCTGTCACGTGTTCCCAATTTTATCATGTAATGTAGCACAAAATCATCCATGCATATCTTTGAGGCAAGTCTTGAGAAATCAACAACTTACTTTTGGGCTAAGTAGCACTGTTGACTGCAATGGAGGTTTTGCGGATGATAGCCTGGGCAGATGCATCAAGGCCTACATGATCTTCTCCATTGAAACTGATTGATGTAAGATGAAGTATGATGAACCAAGTTTCGTAGAGAGGGGGGAGGGGGTATTAAAGAGGGAAGAGTGGTTGAAGCATCAAAGCCTTTCATGGCATTAGTGGCTTCCATTTCATAATTTAAGCATTAAGATATCATTTACATAACAATTGCATTCTAAAGAATGCAAAATAATTATAGAACATTGAAATACACATGCTGGATTCATTTGATAAATGTTTCAAAATAAAGTTAGGGTGCACAAATTGCATTTTGATAAATGTAGAATATTGATACTAAAAAGAGCTTTATCACATAGATAGTGTTTGGAGAGTTGAAGAAGTGTCACCAAAGTGTCCAAAAATGTCTGTAAAGTGTCTAATATTATGAATTTAATTTTTTAATTAAGACACGTTAAAGAAGTGTCAAGACACTTATTAGAGTGTTGGCAAAGTGTTGTGTCCAATACCGGTGTCCAACATGACATGTGAAGTGTTCAGGCTTCTTAGCTTGTGGGCCTCATGACCTAGAACCGATTTATTTTGCTGCTTCACCACCGCCTTGTAACTCCGATTTGTCTATTTGTACCTAGACTCAACTTCCTAACTAGATTCAGTTGGGACTTCTAAAAATAATTACAAATCAAATTTGCTATTACTATTCAAATATATTTTGTATAAGGGATTGCCAAATCTAGTATGGACCTCTGAAGCATGAATATGGAAATGATTCAATACAAATATGGCAATGTGAAACAATCTAAAATAATAGGATACGGGTACAACCTGGTTCTAAGAAGCACAAACACTTCTAAAAAGGTGGTGTGTCCGTGTCGGACACTTCCCGACACGTGTCCGATACTCGTCTAAATGTATCTTTTTTTTATTTTTTATTTTTATATATATAAAAAATTTAGACTTGGAGGACACACGTGTCTATTGATTAGACACACAAAACTAATTATAAGTTTGAACAAAATAACTTAGAATACGATGATAAGATAAAAACAGTGTCAATTTATAGAAATTAGTGTTATATTATATTTATTTATTGTCTTGGGATAATAAATTCATATATATGACATGTAATAAATATACAAAATTATATATTCTGGACACTCTCCCCCTTTGTTGCCACTCCTTAATCTTTACTCAGATCATGGATGGACATGGCTGCTGCTTTTGCTGGGAATTTGCTACTTGTTACCCTGTTCTCGTTCTACTGTAACTGCTTGCAACTGCCTTCTCTACACATTCTATACTGACATCATGGTTCCAATCATGTATATAAATCATTCACCTTGCACTGCCACATGTCTTTTGCAACATGTCTCTTCCATCAAGTCCCACGTATCATTTAAATCTTGCTTCCTTCAAGCCTGTTGACAGACATTGTGTGAAAAATGGTTGCAAATAGACCCAACATATTCCAACCCTTTATCTCTCTCTCTCTCTCTCTCTCTCTCTCTCTCTCTCTCTCTTTGAGTGAAAATGTCGAAATACAACTTCTGTTTGCAGTTAGTTTGAAAAAAATCAATGGCTATGCATGATTTGTTGTTATTTTAGTGATCTGGTTTAATAGATGCAATCAAATCCAGCCAAATTGATCATTCTTGCAGCCAGATTCAATAATATCTCTACATTAAAAAATATGAAATCACACCAACGCAAACATGAACATTAACCTGATATGGAACTTCAATTTGTGACCATTCTGCTTGTAAATTATGGATATCTGTTAATGATAGCACAATGATTTATCAAGAGAGAGAATTGAGACAGAGAGACCATCTGTTGCATGGCGTTTATGAGTCAGGCTTTTCATTTTTGGATGCTTGGAAATGTACACTAGTTTTATTAAGGAAAGCATTGGTTGTATTCATAAAAACTCTAATTCATGACTGTGATGGAACTTTTATGTTTGTCAGGGTGAAACATACAAGTTTGTTTTGGCCTGATCAACCCGAATTTGTGAGGATGGCAGCAAGGTTTGGGGCTACAATTGTACCATTTGCAACTATTGGAGAGGATGACATTGCAGAAGTAAGGATATTCTTTTGTTTTTACCAGACTTCTTTAGTAGAATTGGTACTATAGTTTGATTTGACATGTGCATATAAAGGTTTTATCAGCTATTCTTTTTTTTCTTTTTTTTTCTTCTTCTTTAATATTGCTATTCTTTTGTTTTTAACAGACTTCTTTAGTAGAATTGTTATATCCATCTGTTCGCCATTCGATTTTCTATGGTGCGCCTTCTTTGTTCAACAGGGTGTTCATCGATTTGCCTCACCTTGCGTAGGACAGGGTAGTGAGTCATGTTAGATAGTTTGATATGTATTGTTTGGTCTATTTCCCAATAGCTTAAATTTTTGGAGTATCTAGTTGCTAATAATTTAGTAGTGATGTTGAAGAAGAAAATGGTGTCAATAATTGTCTAAATCATAGTAGCGATGGTTAAAAATGTGATTCTGAGACAGTGAGGGAGTGGCAACATTAGATGGTGTTGAATCCAACATCTTCTCCCTAATCTGGTAAGAGACCTTTATATGTAAGAGTTTATTACGTAGATGACTACTTAAGACATGAGAAGATACTACGGTGGTGTTTCAAAGTCCTCTCGGACTATAAAAGTCATTTTGAATAAATTTTTCCTGTTTGGTGAAGACAACAGAAAGTGATTCAGCCAAAAGGCACGCAAGCCATAGCCCATTTCAAAGAAGCTACCTAGGTTAGCTTTTAGAATGCTTGCTGAATTGGCTTCTCTCAATGTCAGCCACCAACTGAAATGAATTTCTTAAATTTCCCATATTATCCTTCTTGAAACAAGTTGTCTATAATACCCTGTTATATCATAACATTTACAAATCATACCCTATAAAGCATAAGGTGCAAGACTCTTAGAAGTGGATCTTCAGCAACACAATGCATATCTATGCTTATATGTATCCGCAACTTGGTGAGTAGTTTTTCTTTGTTCTATGTTTTTATCCTATCTCATTTCAAACAATATGAGAAGTGATGTTTGGGTTCGATTGTTTTTCTTGAATGCTTGTTCACTATTTATACATTTTGTTTAATTTCTGTTGTGCATTAGATCTCTCTCTCTCTCTCTCTCTCTCTGATCATGGGTTCGCAATTAGCATTTTACTTATCTATTTTCCCAATAACCTTCTGGCTGGTGATGTTATGTATTTGGACGCTGCAGCTAGTTGTTGATTATGATGACTTGATGAGAATCCCCGTGGTGAATGATTACCTTAGGGAATTTAATCAAGACGGTGTAAGGTTGAGGTAATTACTCTTCATTTGGCGACATTTTGCTTTTTTCTTAATATTTCCTCATACACTCAAATTTACATATTTGCATTCTCTTTGAGTTAATTATCAAAGTTACATATACCAATACAAAACATGTTTTTCTGGTTATAGGACTGAAATGGAGGGGGAGATTGCCAAACAAGATTTCTATTTCCCCGGGCTTTTGCCCAAGATACCTGGCCGCTTTTACTATCTATTTCGGAAACCGATACAAACAAAGGGAAAGGAAGCGATGCTAAAAGACACAGAAAATGCAAAAGAATTGTATTTGCAAATAAAATCAGAAGTTGAGCGGAATATTGCGTTTTTGATTAAGAAGCAAGAGGAGGATCCTTACAGGGGCATTATTGAAAGAAGCATATATCAGGCAACTTCCGGGCCTATACAAAACATCCCAACATTTGAACCATGAAATACTGGTTAAAGTTAAATCATTTACACATTGTTTTATGCCTAACAATGGCAAACATTTTTTTTTTCCCTTCTTGCTTTTTCATAAGGGTAATATAGGTATGATAGGTTTGTTCTTCATTGTAATTCAAGGGTAGCAATATTTTTAAAAATAAAAATAAAATAAACATTAGAATAGAAGCATTGTTTTAAGTTGGTATGTAACATTATTACAGCAATGTGCCCGTAAAATGGAAGAAGATATGGTTTTAAGATATATATTTGGGAGGCTTCTCTTCAATACGTGCTGTTGGGTCTTGTGGACCCTATTATGAGCCTTGCTTTGATTATTTGAATCGTCGATTTTGTTTAACTATGCGTAGATCAATATTGAAATATGAAATTTCAAAAAAAAAAAAAAAAAATTAATTTGATTTTTTAGTTAATTGAAATAATGAAACAATATTTTTTTCATAAATTAAGCGCTTAAAATCGTCTTCGGTAATTTGGATGAATAGATTTTGAAAAAAATATATGAAATAAAAAAAAAATGTCCAAAATAGATTATTGTACATAAAGTAATGATCTATTGAAGTTTTAAAGAGATAGCTATTGGTTCAAGTTGTTTGTACACCTTTAGATAATTATTTGTTCAAATTGTTTATGGTGTTAAAAATTCAATAGGTTATACCCTTATTTTCCGAGTTTGTTTTGGATAATTTTTTATTTCATATATTTTTTGGGATTTATCCATCCAAAATTACCGAAATGATTTTGAGCGATTACTTTTTGAAAAAATGTTGGTTCGCTATTTCGAACAATCAATCTATTAATATTTTTTTTGAAATTTCATATTTAATATTGATCTTGTTTAAAAGATCTCAAAAATAAAAGTTCATGAATATCAATTTTGTTAAAACACAAATTTGTAGGATTCAAGTTATGAAATTTTAAAATTCTATTCAACAGAAAATGCATATCTATATGAAAATACACGAGTTTAGCTCTCCGAGACATTGCCAAATAAGTTTAAAAATTGAATACATGGCCTGAGCTCCATGAAACTAACTTCACTCTTGCATTGAAGAAAATATAAGTACGACTTGGGTATTTATTAAGTTCATTTGGGATATTGCAGAAAGTAAGAAAAAAATTTTGAATACGTGTTTGTGTATGTGATATATATGTAGAAAGTACACCATGTAAAAGTGTTGATACTCGATATGTTTATTGAAATACCCATACTTCATAGATGAAAAATATAATTGAAAAAAAAAAAAAAAATTTGTTGGTGACAAAGTCATATGGAGCATATCGAACTTGACACAATTTTTTGTGCTATTAAAGAGTTGCTAAAACTCTTTTCAGAAAAATGTTGGCGACAAAGTGACACGGAGCAGATTATAATCATGATGCTTACGACTAATTCAAATGCATTTTATTCAAAATAAATAAATTAGCTCAGATTAATAGGGTATTGTAATAATTACAATCTGTAATTGTTGACTACATATTTTGTATAAGTTAATTACAATTCGACGCGTGGCAGAATAAACGTAATACAGGAAGATTATCCAAGTCTTCAATCATAATCGTACACGTGGTAATTAGCATTGGTTATTACGAGATGTGAGTAGCATTGGATCAACAAAGAGATGCAAAGTGATGTGGCTTCAATGGTTCTGACATTTAAATTCAAAATTAGGAGGGAAGCCTAACTGCAAGTGATGGCATAGTGGAACTAATTACAAGGCAACATGATCAGCGATCATGGAGGAGCAGTTCGACGGTTGAAAATGCAGTTCGATGGTCATCCTTAAGAAGTATAAATAGCAGAGAAGGCCCCAGAAAAAGCCCCCAGACTCAGATCCAAAAAACCAGTCTTATTCTACTTATTTTCTTTTCCAGTTTTATATTTCCTTCAAAGTTTTACATTTTCAGTCTTATTTTTCCTGTTCTTTACATTCCTGTACTTTAAATTCCTGCACTGCACTTCGTTCATAGGAGTAGTTTCAAGTAGATTGTTGATGTAAACCTCTACGAGGCTGAGTTTGGATCATTGTTAGTTTTTCATTTTAATGAAATGCTTCAATTGTTCTTCATTTAATTGTTATTTTTCCATGTCCACCACCATTGATTCTTGTTAATACTCCAATTCTTCCCTGTCTGAACATATTGGAAATTTCAGTTTCAGTGATTCCGTAACTTTATGATGGTTGTAAGCAGTGACGGTTTCATCATAAGAGGACTAAAAGATAAATAAATTTTTTTTGCATGATATACATTTGTACGTATATATGCATAATATAATATATATATAAAAAAAAAATTCAAATAGGATGAAGTATTTTTGGTGCAAAATAAAAAGAGAGTGCAAGATAGGAGGAAATTGAGATATGTTTTTTTTATACCGGGGACATTTTATATATAAAATGAGATATATTTTTAAAATGCTATGACAAATCATATTTTTCATAGAAACAGAAGGCTATGGCCTCCCATAGCAGTGACAAAGCCATAAAATTAAATTAATGGGACCACTTATTAATTACAATATTGAAATTTTTTACAAAAATTTTTTACGTAAGTTTTCACGATTGATTTCGAGAAACATCAAAAAAATAATTAGCTTGTTTGGTTCTGTTTTTCAGAAAACAATTTTTAAAAAATTCTACTTTTTTATTTTCTATATTTTAATGTATTTTTAATATTTAAAAAAAAATTAATTTTTAGACACACAAAACATAAATATAATTAAAAAGTATAATATTTGTGAAAAAAATCTTTAAAAAAACACTAAATACCAAAAATACATATATATATATATATATATATGAAAATTCAATACATTTTTTTTTTATATTTTTGTGTATTTAATAATTTTTTAAAATATTTTTTCACAAATATTTTACTATTTAGATACATCTAAGTAAGGTGCATTAAAAAAGTAAAAAAAAATTACTTAAAATTTGAAAAATATTCACTTAAAAACAAATACGAAAAATAAAAAACTCAATTTTCAGAAAACTAAATTCAGAAAACTAAAACTAAATACACTGAATGTTATTTATAACTAATGTATCATGAACAATATAAAAAAATATGAATATAAGTCTTAAAATAAATTATATAATGATAAATTATTTTTTTAATACAAAATTTTGATTAAAAATTCAATATAATGGTAATATCACGTCATCATTAGTATGTGACATCACCAACTAATAGTAAATAAACACAGAGAGTAGGGATGGCAATTTGAAACCGGCCCGATGGGGACCCGACCCCCTGACCCCGAATTGAGCGGGTTTTTCCCGAAAAATACCCCCGACGTTATGGTATTTAAAAATCAATCCCCAAACAGATTCGGGCCAGGGACGGGGATAAGTGTCCCAGCCCCATACCCAACCCGGCCCTATCCTCGTTCCCCGAGCCGGTTTATCCCCGATGTTAAATTACCATTTTACCCTTATATATATATATATAAACCAAACCAGGTCTCTCTTCCATTTCTTTCTACAACCGCGTCTCTCATCTCTCTCTACCTCACTCACTGACTTCTCTCTCTCTCTCTCAGATCCACCACCACCGCCGTCCAACTCGCACCACCATCGCCACCACCGCGTCTCTCATTCACTCCCTCTCTTCTCGATGTCACCGACCACCACTGCCGTCCAGCTCGCACCACCACCACCACCACTGCGTCTCTCATCCACTTCATCTCTTCTCCATGTCACTGACCACCACCGTCGTCCAACTCGCACCACCACCACCACCACCACCACCACCGCATCTCTCATCCACTCCTCTTCTCGACGTCGCCGTCCAGCTCACCTATCATATCTTTTCTTTTTTTTTTTCAAATCTGTTTCAAATCTGTCTCAGATCTGTTTCACAAATTTCAAATCTGTTTTAGATCTGTCTCATTATACACAAATTTCATATCTATTTTCATTATTATACAGACCCCAAACAATTTCAGATTTGTTTTCAATTTAATCTGATTTTACACATTTGTTGTTCTTGATGATGATGATGATGATATTGTTATTGTTGATGATGAATTGTTGTATTTTTTGAAATTTTTTTTTTTGCTGGGAAATGTTCGGGGTTGGGGAAACCCGATCCCTGTTAGGGGGCGAGGGCGGGGGCAGTGATAGGTTCCTCGTCGGGGATCGAGGCCGGGGCCAGGGGAAATTCGACCATCGGGGATTGGGGATGGGGAGTGTGATCCCTGGCCCCGCCCCGTTGCCATTCCGAATAAAGAGTGAATTTCACATGTCAAATGTAACTAATAACAATCTAATAAATTTTATATCTTTATACTGAGATTATTTATACTTACATGTCAATAATAATGGCATTACCGTTACATTAAAAAAATTTCATAAAATTTTCATAGATAATATAGTTTATAGTAATTTCTTCATTTTCAATCAAAATAATCATTATTGTTCCCATAATTTTTAAAATGTCATTGACATTTCACTCTAATAATATTTTTGTAATTTTCACTACTACAAAAATAGTTAAAAATCACACTTTGAGAAAAAAAAAATCTCACTTTTTTTGGAAGTGTGATAAAAAAAATTAGATTAATATTTTTATCACACTTAATTTGATTGAGTGTGATATTATTTATTTTTTATGTCACTTTTCAATTAAGTGTGATTATATCTATTTTTTTTAATCACACGTTCTAATTAAAGTGTGATTATATATACACTACTACTTTTTAATCACACTTTTGAAATAAGTGTGATTATAAATATATTTTTAATCACACATTCCAATTAAAGTGTGATTATATATACATTTTTTAATCACACTTTAATTAGAATGAGTGATTATACATACACTACTACTTTTTAATCACACTTTTTAAATAAGTGTGATTATAAATATATTTTTTAATCACACATTGTAATTAAAGTGTGATTATATATACATTACTACTTTTTAATCATACTTTTTTAAATGAGTGTAATTGTATATATATTTTTTAATCACACATTCTAATTAAATTATGATTATTTATATATTTTTTAATTACACATTCTAATTAAAGTGTGATTACATATACATTACTACTTTTTAATCACACTCCCTAAATAAGTGTGATTGTATAAAATATTCCAATTTGATTTTTATATA